CGATAACCCCTCATCGGCACCTCAAATGCGAATACGCGAACTGGAACAGCCAAATCGAAACGATACAGGAAGCTTTTGTATTTCCTTCCTCTGTAAAATAACGAGCTTTCAGTTTAGGTGTGGATCAACTGTAACAGATATTTTTTCGAGCAGTCATTTAATGTTTTTCGTAGTGCTTGGATAGCTTTTCGACAACTTTTGTTCAATCAGACTATGCTCAGTAAAATTCCCAGTTAACTTCTAATTACCGAAATATTACCGAAATGAGTTTTTAACTAATTTTCAAAATCTTATCTGTCTCCTTCTGCAAGTATGATATTGAATATAACTTAAAAAGAAACAATACATCTTACAAAAGAAATAGCATTTACCTAAAAATTATATTCAAATATCACAAATTATATAGACGAGCTCAAAACCAAGGGCTTATCACAAAAATTCTTTTGGTATGAATATTGATCATTTTTGTTTATCTTCTGAATTAGGCAATATCCGCTAATATATCTTTTGCTTTCTACTTTAACATCCCATCTGAATAACGCTGATTGCTTTAATCCAAAGTTAAATTCGTTAACAATGCATTTTTTCTGTGAATCTCCATGGTATAATTTATTGTCGTTTTAGTATAAATGTAAAATTTATAGCATAATAAAAAATCTCTACAGGATAATCTAATATATATATGCAAATTATGATAATTATAGACCAAAATCAGTCTTGGAAAACATAACTCTTGCACTTGTAAGAAGGTTTTGCAGTAAACATATTAAGTAGGTATTGTGTAGGTTCGTTATGAATGTGTTCAAATAATATTAGTATTAAGTAGAAATAATCGTTATGAATGTGTTCAATATCCTTGTTGCTAATATCTACATCGGTGCATTATCTGAATATCTGATTGTGGGTGTTGGAGAATTCGGTTCGTATTGTATAGAGAATATCGTACAATGGTATGATATACGATGACATGCCTTTACACGTCCATGGCTTGTACGGTTAGGTAAATCACAGGATTAACAATAGATTTGTCTGCGACAATGGGATTTATATGGATCGTGGGTGTTTGTACTGATTAGTCGTACAATATCCGCGTGAAAATTATCGGAATGTGAAATATATATGCTAACTACATGTTGATGTCATTATGCGAGATCATAGCGAACGAGAGATTATCGATTTACTATTGAGTAATTGCAATGTATTATAAATGATTATGCTATCAAAATCTCTTGTAAAGTGTGCGTGTTTGTAAATATAACAATAAAAGAGTCCACAAATAGTTAAAAATCACAAAAAAAATTATAAGTTCGCTTTACTTCATTTGACATGATTTGACCAGTAGTAAATTGGCGATTAGAAGCCTTTACGAAAAATCAAGATTTAGCCCACATACCCACACAGAATTTTCCCAAATTTAGTGTCAAAAAATTCGAAATGACTTTTTTTATTTCATTAATGTGCAAATATACAGTAATCTGTATTAATATATTTCTAAATGCGCAAGCTATCTGTTTGAACATGTGAATTTAGCAAATTTAGAAATTTTAAATTTTTATAAGGAATGTACTAGCATTTGCATATCGTCCTTTGAAAAAAAAAAACAAAGCATATGTTTATTACTCCACATACTATGAAAATAAGGAAACAAAAGTTTTTTCAACATAAACCTATTTGAATAAATTACAACAGTGTACGTCCTCTCAGAGGCGTGTTAGCAGCGTTAAGGGTTGATATATGTGTACTTTACGCGCGAACGCAAATTGTTCAAGATTCACTGTTCGCCGCATTGTCGCATGTATCGATAATAAATTTAAAGATTTTATAATAATTCCCGTCTTTACGCTTTTATCATCATTGAGATGAAATATCTCTAAATAAATAAAAAATAAATATTCAATAGAAATGTTATTGCGTACAATTTTTATTATTGAAATGTTTATCTATATTCATACATACAAAACGGCAAAGATAAAGTATGTAAAGCAAACATATTTTACTCTCCAGTTTAATAATTTTTCAAAAAAAATTCACCGAATTTCATCGTACTGCTTTTTAATTCCCTGTAGTTTAATGCAAGTCGTCAATCATCTAAATCTTCATCATATTAGTATTTCATCTTAAATTTCACTTATGGTATCGTTCAAACTTTGTCAACAATATTCGATATTGAAGTATATACTAGTGACTGATAAGTCAATTTTCAATAATTTCGCATCAAAATTACACATGAGTATTGTTCTGTTAGATATTAGCCTTGTTATTTCGGAAGTGACATTTCCGAAACTAGCTTAAAATATGAAGCATCTGAAGACATTAATGTGCGATTATTCTAGTATGCCAGAGTACAACCGTTAAAATCATTAATTAACTAGATCAACTAACTAATCTAACTATTAAAATTGGGTTCTCCCGTGAAAAATAAGATGTAGAAGCGCCACCTTTTTTGATCTTCTACATTTTTTGTTTGTTTTAGTATATCAAATCCGAAATATAATGACTGTTCGTAGTCTACGGCTGATGAAAAATATTCCTAACTTTGGTCAGTATCTTTGAATCAAATTATTGCATTTTAAAAATTACCTAACGTTCTAGCAACCTTTTATCAAATTTTATCTTCTAAGCGACTCAAGAAAACAAAAACAAAATCTTGCAACAAAAATTTTCTGAGTTAACGAAGTTTTTAGGTTATCGGTATGACTTATCAATAATATTCATAACCGCCAAATTGGTCAGTGCGTTTTGAAAAATTCCTAGCGTTTGCTTCGAGTTTTTCCTCAAATCTTTGCTCGTTACATAAACGCCAAGTGTGCAACATTTGAAACCGTCAAAGTTAGAATATTACTTTTCCTGATCTTTAAGGGGAATTAAATAAATGTAACCATCACCGATGCCGGCGCCCGCTGTGCTATTCGTAGTCGCGCCGCGCCGGCTGTACAATGCGTCGTGTCGGGCGTAATATTACAAAAGTTTAGGCCAGCACATAATTCAGTGTATTGCTCGCCGTTTCTGTTGTGCAATGAATTCAATACCACGGCATCGTATATATAAGGTGCAAACAAACAATGCCAGGCCACAACAATAGTCTCTATAATTTAAATCATGTATATTTATCGATCTGATACCATATACTACGTAAATGAAAAATTTTGTATATTGGAGTCAACAAATAAAGTAAAGTTAGTCTGGATGCTCATTGATAACATTTGACTAGAAACCCACTTTTTTATACCTAAATATCTTATTGAATTCATAGTAATTAAGAGAAACAAAATTGACATAGCTTATCATTTAACATCGAATATATAGGAAAATTTGACCCCTGAAGGTAGACCTTTTTTACTAATGCATTTCTTTGCATTCAAATAAGATATTTAAATAATTTAACATTGATTTCATAAGTATCCTTTTTATAAAAAAATATTGTATCTACAATCCAGGTGATAAGAAAACGAAATTAACATGGCTCATGAAGTAAATTAGTTCAGTTCCGATATGAATGAAAATATATACTTTGAAAGTGACTTCTTTTTCCACCCATATAAAATAAAAGAACATAATTAACTTAAAATTGACATAGCTTATCACTTAACCTCGAATGTATAGGAAAATTTGACCCCTGATGGTGAACTTTTTTAAGAATGCATTTCTTTGTATTTAAATAAGATATTTAAATAATTTAACATTGATTTCATAAGTATCCTTTTATAAAAAAATATTGTATCTACAATCCAGGTGATAAGAAAACGAAATTAACATGGCTCATGAAGTAAATTAGTTCAGTTCCGATATCGATGAAAATATATACTTTGAAAGTGATTTCTTTTTCCACCCATATAAATAAAAGAACATAATTAACTTACAATTAGTACAATATTTCGCCTCTATTATTATTGAAAATATGCATTATGTGCAAAGAGATTCTGGAACAAAATTATTATAGCACATTATTTGGCCTTGAATATTGTTAAAATTATACACTTTTAAAGTGATTCCTCCTTCCAAAAATGTTCTTGCGTTGTATCCATAAAACAATATGAACGAAATTAACTTAGCTGCTTTCATACCAGTTTGCACAGTGTAATTTGTAATAATTATTTATCAGTAGTGGGAAAACAAAGTTAATTGAAAGCTTTGATCAATGCTTTGAATTGAAATAAATTTTGTTCAACTCACTGCCCCAAAGATTTTTTCTTGTATTTTTTTAAATGCTAAAAAAATCGATGTAGTAAACATAAAAAAATGACATATCCACGCCAACAATTCCATTATCTCTGCTCGACTTAAATTTTGATTTTATTTATTAGAGTATAATTAAAACATAAGAAGGTAATTCAGTGAAAATATTTTTCTCAATAACTTAAATATGTTTCAAATGCAATAAAGTTATGCTATGTAGTTTTGAGATATAAAAATAAACGTTTTACTTCGAGCAATAAAATCATCATTACAGTGAGATGATATAAAAAAATGAAATGAGAAACGGTGCCGTAAAAGTAATTTAAATAATGGTTTTCTTTTCAGTGGACACGGATCGATTTAAATATGAGTAACTTTAACGTTTTAAAAGTCAGGATGAGAAATAAAACAAAAACCGAAGTGCTTCAGTCAATAAATCTTGAAATTCGAAGAGTTATTGCTTTCCACATTCTGAGAGATATTTTTTTCAACTCTGGTAGGAATCAAACACTTGTTTTTATTAATTTTTATTTTATAATAAAACAAGTAGTACAATAATTTATGCAATTGTAATAAAATCATTTCAAGATTTAGAAAGCATTTTTAACAATTTTATGACTATTAACGCCTGAAGGTTATTTTTATTTTACCAGGAAGTCAGGAAAACAGTATATGTACATGACATATTTAGTAGAATGTCAAAAAAATATATATTTTCAACAAAATAAATATGGCAATTAAATATTGAATTTTATACAAGTGCTGAAAATATTAGTAGCCAATTTGTATTCAATGCACAATGCAAAAATCTCATCAGTCTGTTTTAAAAATCTTCCAGGGTATTCCCTAAACGAACAATCGACGTTTTATATGGAAGCTCCGGTCATGATGGAATTTTCTGAATGCACCAAAGCAGAAAACTACCATCACAAATCCAATTTTACGCTTTGCTTACTGTTAAGTAAGACATGACCACATATCTCTCGCCAAATACGACCAAGAGCTTCTGAAACAGACCAAACCTTAATCATTTTGACTATTTTATGATAAACTAGTACATAAATCTGATAAAAACTGATAACGGAAGCGATTGTGTATTATATATAAAATAATGAATATAATTGTTCATTAAAATTAATATGATAAAATCGCGTTTCTGATTTAATTTAGTTAATCCCATTACATGTTTAACAGCAGCAGCTATTACTAGCTACAAGATTCTAAACCAGAAAGCATAATATTTTAGGAAATTTTATGAAAAAAAATAATGGTTCCATCATAACCGTATGAGATGGCATTACCAAATAATACATAATGTATAACAAACTAAAATAAATGAATTCATTTTTTATAAACTATCATCTAATCATTTAAGACAAGTGATCCAATTTTACCTCTTATATAGAAATCTTGAAATAGGCCACACAAAATAATTTTTATAGAACCTTTTTGAAAATTTGATGACAAATTTATTGACTCCAATTTAACCAGAAATGATTAATCCTTAACTATCAAAAGATGAAAGAAATTGAATAAAATACTTAGCGTAAAATATACACTGATTGTGAGAATGAATTAAACCTAGTCTCTAAACGTCTGTAAAATTAAAATTATTTAATATATCTGATTGCTAAATAAAACAAGTTAAAAAAAATTAATATATACATAAGTGCAAAAAGGTATATATATATATATTAATACATAAATACATACATCCATAGTAAGTGCATGAAAATCAATATAATCAATTAAAAGGCTAGATTCAACTTGCTATCTATATAATAAGTCCTACAAAGTCTAATTTTCTCAATAGAGCAACAAGAATGAAACCAGTAGGTAATTAATTTTTGATGATAAAATATTACATTACAATGTTGATCACGTTTTCCCACAGTTTAGAAATTACATGGGCTATAAAGTTTAGAACAGTTGCCCGTGACATGAAGCAGCGCCCAACAATTTCTATAATGCAAATTTCATGCATCCATTGTTCAGAATAATGTGACCAAAAATAAAATTTAGAAAAATATTAAATGCAAAAATAAAGCACTAACTTTTGAATGGGTCGTATAAATAAAAAAGTGATAAAGTTATTTTATACGATGGCTAATTGACTAGATAACAAAATCAGAGTTATTCCTTTATTTCAGAAAATTGAGCCATATATATTCAAAATATTATTATAAGATCTATATTAGTTTTAAAATCTAAATATTATACTAAGGTTATATATTGCATTATTGACAACATATCTTTTTTGAGATTTTCTCACTTGGCAATGCAATATTTGAGTTTTATGGTTTTATTATGTCCGAAATGCAATTTCTTAGATATCGTTGACATGTAGTGGTTGAATTTATGCCTCCGTTATATCATAGAGCTTTGTAATATCATCTTTGCTCAAGTACGAGGACCTAATAAATTTGGTAAACACTTCTGGAATGCCTCCAAATGGTATCCAGCTCGCTTGTCAGTTGTTTACGACCTTCTGGAAGTGTTAGTCACAAGCAAACCGCCGCAGATGGCAACTGTATTGAACTTAAAGCTCCGTTCAAGATATACAGCCGGAATAAGATTTTGGATATATATATATATATATATATATACATACATATATATATATATATATATATATATATATATATATCATTGAGAGCGTTTGATTAAAGAAGAACTCGAAATAAAAACAAGTGGCTTTTCAATGATAGATAGATAGATAGATTTGTTTGAGGCGCTTGACAACTATTTATGTTCCATCATTTTTATTAATTTATGATGTGATCCTGGTACATTCAGTGGGTAAAAGAAAGGTTTTTTGAATGTAAGTACATAATTCGCTTGGTTGTGTCGGTGTTCGAATATGAAGTCCAAATAAGTGTTTCGTGTAATCATTAATTTAATTTTGTCTTATCTTCTCATATCGACATCTCAGATGTTTCATGAGGAAATAATTCAAAAACAAATTACCTATATATTGTAAAATACAATATAATAGGAAAAAATAAGAATTAGTTTTATTTATTATTTCCTCAGTTATAAATTATTAATTTCTAAGAAATTTTTCTAATTCCGAAAGTTAGAAAATTAAAACTTTGTTTTTACTTGGAGTATTAGATATACAAGGTGATCCAGACCTTGACTTCCAGTCGAAACAGGGTGATATTGTAGACCTTAACTGTCTTGAGAAAAAAATATAACACGTTGTTCTAAAATTATGAGCTTTTAAGCGCAGCCAAGAGCTGTGGTGAAATTATGACCGTTTCTGTTAATGTGGTTAACTTTTATTAATTTTGTTCATTTAAACTTTGGGACCAAAACCGTGAATAACATTTCTAAGACCACTGTGAAATAAAATACCACAATTGTCTAGAATTGTCAAGTTTTCAAGAATTAAGACTTTTTGTTAAACTATGAATTTTTTATTTTAAATTCGTCGACTTTGAGAAGTCTTTCTTTCTTATCTTTGAAAATATATCATAAAGTCTATTGGCAAGTTTTAGAAAATTTGACTAAATGAATTATTTCTTGACAATTTATATTGGTCAATACTTGGTAAATGTAGAAACAGTAATTATAAATAAATTAATAAAATAGTTTTTGGTTCATTATATGCGAGAATAAAAGTATCATGTTGACAGCCCATAGTCCTTGCAGGGACAAATAGCAATTATCATTAGCTTATGTTATTTATAGCTCTTGTAAAGTTATAACAATATATTAAATGGTTTTCATACTTATGACTTTGTTTTGTTATTTTATTTGGCATGAGAATATGCAACCATCGTGGCATGCATACATAACATATGTAAATGTATTTTTGAATTCGTTTATGCAATTCATATGATATAAAATTTTATCACATAGCGTACAGGTTAATGAAAACTCGAAGCTATTGATTTTATTATTACTTAACAAACAATTAATTATTCAAATCAGAATCCAAGGAACGTATTTCATCCAAATTGTTCTAGACGCAAAATTTCTGTTTTTAATGAAACGTATATTTTAGAACATTGGCAATTCAATTCGTTTGCCAAAAACACTTTGTCTTCCGCAGTACACAGTTGTACTGCCTACATTTGCATTCGAATGTATGCAATTATGCTAATGAACGAATAAAGTTAATGACAGAAAGCTTTTCGTAAAATGGAAATGAATTAAAAATTCTCATTTACCATGGTAAATGATGTAGCACAAATACGATGTAATATTATGAGTAATAATAAATGAAAAAATATAAAATAAATGGTTTTGCGGAAAATTAAAATTTGCGAATAAGCCAATAAAAATTATGTTGTAAAGTTTACGTAAATTAAAAATGATTAAAATGAATGCATGATATCTAAATAAATGATGGAATAGTGCTTGGAAATAAACTTGGTAGCGGTAAAGGCTTTTATAAATATATCTATATTTATAAATTACGTAGTTTTTATATAATAATTGCATCGATTTTAGTCCATGAAAACTATATGTCTTTATCAACGCTCTATTCATACGCTGCAGAAAAAAAATTATACCTAAAACGTATGAAATTTCCAGCTGATGAGATTTATTTAATGGAATCGTGCGGAATACTGAATAGGACTCACTCTAAAACTTAATTAAAAGCAAAAAAGTAACATTAAAACGGCATTATGAATGCGAAATTACATGAATAAATTATACACGCTTGATTCTTTTTTAATATAGCCCAAAAGATAAAAAAGTGTTTGATTAATGTTTGATTTGCTAAATATTCTGTGGGTCTGGAATTTATAAAATAAGATTGCGAAATTATTATAATGATATTTTTAACTAGTTTTTTAAGAGTCACATATTTGTTATTTGAAATAGAGTAGAGTGGGGCTTAAAGGTCCGCGGGTAAAAAAGTTTATCACCATTATCTCAAAAACAAATAAAATTAGAGATTTTTTAACAACAATATTTGAAAGTAGAACTTATAACCAGCCAATACGTTGATTCTGGCGACTTTGTTATCAGAAGATAAACGGGGATGTTTGGAAATCCATCACAAATATATTTTCTTTCGTTGTTAGTTTTTTGGTTGTGAGCACAATTGTTTAATTTACGAGGCTCTTCAATCATCAATTATTTTATTTTAAGGCAGATTCAACAGTTTTTTTATAACCTCTGTAAAAGTTTACTTACTTAAGAATTCACTTAATAATAATAATGCCATTAATTTAATTGATTGATTATACAGCCCAGTAAAAAAATAACTTAAGCAATAATTATAAAACGCTTTTTCTAAATTATATTCTGGGTTAACTCCTTCGTATATTCAGGTTATTAATGTTCAAAGCCATTACAGCTCGGAAAATGTCTCAAAATCTGAATTATTCAGAGCACGGATTTTGATAATCGTCGAAAGATTACAGATGACCCGAAGGAATCGTCAATAACTCTCGCGTACTGAAACATCTCCTGTATACTGATGAACTTACATGGTGTATCAGAATTATACTTCTAGTAACATATTATACTTAGAATGAGAAATAAAAGTATCTATGTAAATTTTGCTCATGACTAATGGTTGTTTCTGTTATGTAATTATCTATCAATTTTAGCATATGTAAATATGTTTACCTTTTATTTAAATTAAAAAAAAGTCTGAAAAAATATTTTAATCAACTATTTGTTTTTTTCTTCATTAACATTAAATTTAGTCGCATTTCGTTTGTGTAACGCGATTTTTTATTTTTAGTTGTTGTTTTATATGTGAGAAAAATTAGAATAATTAAAAATATTTTTGACGATTGTTTAGAATTTTTTTTTCCAATATGTATCATATTCTTTTTTATCATAATATTATTTGTGGATTTATCCACGAAAGATTAGTAAAATTGGGTCCCCAAAACGTATAGAAGTTTTGGGTTAGCATAGAAGTTTTATTTAGAAACGTAATCTAGTTTTATTTCTATTATATTGATAGCTAGCTCAAAAGTATATTTGTTATATATATATATATATATATATATATGTATGTATGTGCATGTGTATTGA